ACAGGAGGATGCCGAGGAGTACCTGGGCTTCATCCTGAACGGACTGCATGAGGAGATGCTGAGCCTGAAGAAGCTCCTCTCGCCAGACGGTGAAAGTAGGTTCACTTCCTGCACACTGTGCCCAGCCAGCTAAGTCTCATTTTTAAACAAAGGTCACAGCTCATTCCTGTGCAAAATTGCAGCTCCCAGGGGGTTGGAGAGTTGGCTCAGTAGAATAAGTGCTTCCCTGGTAAGCACAAGGGCCTGAGTTCAATTCCCAGTTCCAGGAAAAAAAAAGAAATTGCAGCTCCCAATCCTCAGCTCTGCCCATCAGATGTCCTTTACTTCCAGAGATGACACCAGCTTTTACCTTGCCCTTTCGGTACCCTCAGTAATGTTTTATTTAGATAAGTTGAAACTTACTCAGAACCTCTGCTGTTGATTCCTTTAATTCAGAAATGATCTCTAGGGCTGGGGAGATGGCTCAGTGGAATAAGCGCTTGCCTAGTAAGCGCAAGGGCCTGAGTTCAATCCCTGGTTCTGCCAAAAAAAAAAAAAAAAGACACACACAGAAATGATCTCTCATACAGGAAAGCAGAAGGACTAGTGTGTGGAATCCCCACATGACTGCAGGAGTCTGCCTTGTGAGAATACCCCGAGTGTTTCTTTCCACATGTGTGCGTGCACGTACAGTATGTTTACGTTTTCCTAGTTTGCCCCTCAGGGCTAAAGTGTGCATCCCGAGGATAAGCATCCTTGCCCGCACACACAGGGAATACTGCACTTCTGCCTGTTTCCCAGGGCTCCTTCCCAGTAGTTGAAGCAGCCAGAGCCAGGCAGGTCCAGGGCCTGTGCCTTTGCTGCGTAGTTGCTGTGGCTCGGTGCCTACACACTGAGTCTGTCTGTAGACCTGCAGTGGACACATTTGTCCGGCCAGCCTGGATGGTCTGTGCGTGGGATGTGCCCCTTGGTGGTTGCACGAGCAGGCCCTTTCCTTTCCTTGCAGAGCTCATGGTTTCAAATGGGCCCAGAAGCCCCTTGGCTGATGACGATGAGCAGGAGGAACAAGGTGAAGGCAGCGAGGAGGAGTGGGAGCAAGTGGGACCCAGGAACAAGACCTCGGTCACCCGGCAGGCGGACTTCGTCCAGACTCCAATCACGGGCATTTTTGGTGGGCACATCAGGTCTGTGACTTTTCTGGAATAATTCGGTATTTGCCTGTTCCGGGGTTTTGCCGTTTCTCTAGCATGGGAGGCGTGAGCACTGTCCTGCCACCTTGTGCCTTAGCACCTTTGCCAGCTGTTTGCTGGTCCTCCACTTCAGGTGCTCCTCACCACCTATGAGCCAGTGTTCTCTGGCGTCAGCTGTTCACTGCTCAAGTTAGAGAACAAGCTAACTGAACTGCTAAGGGAGATCCATGGGCCCAGCGGGGGCATTCTGCACATTTCCATGACTTAACAGTTCACAGTGGGAAGTCACAGCATAGGCATTGGGGGATGGTTTCTGTAGAGAAGCAAGCAACAGCCTTCAGCTCACTAGTCACCCTTTCTGCTTAGGGGGCAGAATCACCACAGTCTACTTGCCCGTAGAGTCCATGTCTGATGCGCTCACTGCTGCGCCCCTCGTGGGTTCTGTCTTTTCTCTAGATTGCCCACCTAGTGTGTGAGCAGCTCCTTCCCTCTGACCTGCCCCTGCCCCTGCCCTGGGTGGTCAGTTTTATTATACACTTGGCCTTTTTGAAAAGGTTGCACGTGTGGTGTGTGCATACCGTTTTCCTGTGTTCAGCTTATTTCACCTGGCATGATGTCCCCAGCTGTGCCCATCTTGTGACAGCAATAGGATCTCCTTTTGTAGGGCTGAAGCCATTCCGTGGTACCTAGGTACACTCCTGACCCTGGGACCTCCGTGCTGCTGTGCATTCCAGGGCTTCGCAGACACAGCCCTGGGTGTGTGGTGTACACAAGGAGGGAGGTGGGTGGGCGGGTGAGCAGCCGTGGAGGTGACTGCCCTTGGCTCCACAGGCTCGCGGCCTAATACGTGGATTCCTGGCACACCTCTGCGGGAGGTGGAGGAGAGGGGACAGCGTGAAGGAGAAAATGAGACCGCTGGTTATTTTCATGGGGTGCATGTCCACAGATGGCCACTGTATCCAGAGACTCCAAATCTTGCCTCCTAACCAGTTCTAGTGTCCACGCTGGACGAATTTGGCCTTGAGAGGTCTGCATGGCTGCTGCTACCAGTCTCTGATAGGCCTCTGTGCCAAAGTTGGTTGTTCCTTTATGAAAATATGTAAAGCAGCGAGATATGGTCATGCATGCTGGTAATCCAAGCACTCAGTGAGGCTGAGGCAGAAGGGTTGCAAGCTCGAGCCTAGTCGGCAACTGAGTGATTTAGTGAGAGCCTGTCGCAAGTTGAAAAAGGTTGGAGATGTAGCTCTGTGAAGACCCTGGCTGGGTTCAATCCCCGAACTTCCCCCATCGCCAAGTACAGCAGAGGTAAGGGATTGGGACAATTGAAGCTCTTTTTAAACTGCCACTAAGCATGAGTCTGTGCATCTCAGTTGAGAGATGCTCCTGTAAAACTCAGGGTTCCTGGGAAGGCCAGCATTCTCTGCAAAGATAAACATCCTTTACCTCTAAGGCTGAGGGCTGCTTCTTATTTCTTCTGCAGCCCCTTACTGGTGTCCCCACTGCTTCGTGTGGCCCTAGAGAGCTGCTGCCCTGAGGTGTGTGTGCTCAGGAGGCCCACCCCACCCCATCCCAGGAGGCCAGACGCTGCGTTCTGCTCACCAAACAGGCCACTGAAGTAGAACCCTTCTGAGCTCTTGCTGTGTTTTCTCTTGGAGGCTAAATGAGGCATACTATACTGCACATGCACTTTTGTACTCAGAAGAACTTAGAGAAAGAAAAATGAAATGAAAGACCAGCTAAGAAAACAAGGTTGAGCTGGCACCCTTCCCCTTTCCCCCCGTGTGTCATTTTCATAGAGGGAAATGCCATTCAGAACGTCCTGTGTGCCATGGGATTTCCTCTGTTTTTTAAAATAGGCCACCATTCTTTGAAAAGATGCAAAGTGCCCGCAGGTAGAGGCTGTGGCCAGACGCGCACGCTTGCTAACTGGTGCGCTGATCACAGTGAGGCATGTGGTGCCAGCATTTGGAAGATGCAGCGCTTTCTTCCAGAGCACCCAAGCGAGGAGCGTGTGTCGCAGCAGACGTGGGTGCCAGCACTGAGGAGGGTATTCAGCGAGGGTGCCGCACTCAGTGTCTTTTTGGCTTTTGTGTTGTCTGCAGTCCTCTGACAGTGATGCTGAATAATCTGATTTTCAGTATTTCTTCTTCCGTTGGCTGCTCTTAAGTGAAGCTGTCAAGGACCGGGCTCTTAAATCGTTTCTGCTTTTAATCCCTAGGTCAGTGGTTTACCAGCAGAGTTCAAAAGAATCCGCCACTCTGCAGCCCTTTTTCACGCTGCAGCTGGACATCCAGTCTGACAAGATACGCACTGTGCAGGATGCACTCGAGAGCCTGGTGGCCCGAGAGTCTGTCCAGGGTTACACCACAAGAACCAAACAAGAGGTACGGCCGGAGCCAAGCCCGCTGCGTGAACAGGATGAACACCGAGTTAGGGGCAAGAGCAAGGGAGTCTCAGTGCTGCCCTCTGAGCAGTTGCTGATTTGTTTGGACCAAACATTTGTACGCTGTTAGCATGGCGTGGCTGGAGCAGCTGACCCGGCTGGCACGCACTGTTAGCCCCTGGGCTCCTGGGCTCCCGGGCTGGTGACCCTGAGCAGTGTTTCCTTTTCTGACACTCTAATCCCAGCTCAGGAAGCCAGCATCAGTCCAGAGCAGGGCTGAGTAGCTTGTGTCTGTTCACGCATGCCGCAGTTTATTCAATTAGTTACAGCTCTCATCACATCTGCTTTGCATTCGCATAGAGCTCTTCAAGGACTTGAAGGATAGAGAGTCATTATTCGGAGGCCTTAAATTCGACCTGAAAAGGAGAGCATCTTCAGGTCTTTCTCGTTCCCAAGTTAAGGGTGTAGGGTGTTCTGCTGCAGAGGTGGTTCTGTCCATCCTGGGCCATGGTGGAGAGCCCAGCGTGCCGGGCGATGAGTGCTTTGCTGTGGTGCTGTGTGTGAACTATGGTGGCCCCAGGCATGGACCGCTCCCTCGCTCTGCACTGGCTGCGCCACTTTCTGTAGGTGTGCAGGAGTCGGGCTCTGCACTGTGTTGATGGCACTGCTGGTGGCACCGGCTCCAAGAAGCCGACAACCGGCAGCCACAGTGAGCAGGCAGAGAAGGTCAGGCAGCTGTTAGGTGCATCTGGCTCTGTGTGACCATTAGCTTGGCTTGCCTGTGGCAGCAGGGACTCTGCAGAGACAGAGCACTGCCCCTGGTGCTGTTGTGCCCTCCTCACACTCCTCTGTGAGTCAGCTATGGCTGTCTGGGGCCACTCGTCCTGCTGTCAGGTCCCCAGCCTTGCCCTAGGCAGCTGGGGGTACCCATTTGGACTGTGTTTGCTCTGCTGTCATTAAACAGCTGGTGGGGCTGCAGCAGTGTTGGAGCAGAGGTGGCCGTGGGCGGTTTCCCCAGGAGAAGGGGAAGTGGCGCTGCTCCCTGTTCCTGCTCTGTGCCCCGCAGTTCTCAGACTGGACTGGGCATGCCGGAGAGCAGATATTCTAGGAAGGAAGTGAGGATGGGCTGTGGAAAGGCTTGGAAAAGGCAATGGCGTGTTTTCTTGGACCTCACTATTTCATTTTATTCTTTATTTTATGTTTTATTTATTTATTTTTTTGGTTTTTTTGAGACAGGGTCTCACTATGCAGCTCAGGCCAGCCTTGAGCTCACTTTGTAACCTAGGCTGGTCTCTAACTCACAACGATCCTCCTGCCTCAGGCCCCTGGGTGCTGGGATCATAGGTATGCACCACCACACTGGGATTGGGTGTCAGTTTAAAATTTTCCTTTTAAAAATACTAAGTGTTACTGTACTGAAGGAGAAAGTTCTTTCCTGTGGGAGCGTGAAGGGACATCTGCGGAATGTGTCTGCTGTCTGGAAACTGTCAGAGCCTGCTGGGGAGTTGCCCGAGCCCACTGGCTTCGCCTGGAGGCTCCCCACGCATCCCCCGTGAGCCACTGCACAGCTGAGCTTTCCAGTCCAGGGCTGTACTCAGCACTGGACAGACCCTTGAGACAGCGTGGTGCCTGGTCCTGCTCTCGGGGCCTGGCGTAGGGATCGAGGCCTTGCAGCTCTGGTCTCTGGGGCCACATCTGTCGGCTCACAGTCTCTTGGGGGTGTGGGGGCTCTCGATGGGCCTGGCTTTTGCCCTGGACTCTGGCCTGCAGGCAGGAAACCCTCAGGACCTACGGCTGGCACGGGCCCCAGCTTGTCTAGCCCTTGGAAGAATGAAACACAGGTTCCCGCTGAGTTAGTTTGTTGCTTCTTACACAGACTTGTCACCTGGGGCTGCGGGGCACAGCTCTCCACTTGGGGTGCAGTGACCCTCAGGCCTGGTCAGACAGGACAGCATGTCCTGTGTGCTGTGTGCCCCAGGTTGAGATAAGTCGGCGGGTGACTCTGGAGAAGCTGCCTCCTGTCCTCGTGCTGCACCTGAAGCGCTTCGTGTATGAGAAGACCGGCGGCTGCCAGAAGCTGGTCAAGAACATCGACTACCCCGTGGACTTGGAGATCAGCAAGGGTGAGGCGGCTGCCAGGCCCGGACTCGGCCCTCTGCTTGGCTTTTTTCTGTCTCATTTTCTTGTCTTCAAGAGACTTTTGTGGTAATGCTGGCAGAAAATGGCTTTTTAAAAATAGAAGTGAAAATGAACAAACACTGTAATTTTGCTAGGTTAGAAAAATAGAAGCTTTTGTCCATCTAAAAGCATTATTTTTCATTCATCAAGCCTTTTTTCTATCGGTGGGAAATACTTGTCCTAGACGAAGTATGGACAGCTGCGCTGGCCAGCCTGCTTAGGTGGCAGTGAGAAGTCTGCAGTTGCCGTGACGCTCATGCTAGATTTGTGGCACTTTGTCACCCACATGTGTCCCTGGGTAACAGGGCGTAGCAGTTTAAAGAGCAGTGTGTTGCATTGCGCGGTGGCAGAGCTGTGCCCCAGCCTACTGGAGGCTCTGGGTCATCCTCCCGCTGCAAAGAAGAGAAGAAAAGAATGAGTATAAACACACACAGAGCTTAAAGAGGTTTTTCTTGAAAGCTTCAGAATTGGTGGAAAGTATGCAGAGGTGAGGCTTGCTGGAGAGTGGCGCTCGTCCGAGGGGACAGAGAGGAGGCGGCTGGTGGCCTTCCTGGGCCACACTGAAGGTGCAGACTGCCCTCTGTCCCTCTGGCTCATCCCACAGGGGCTCTGCACACCTTCCCACCAGCAGCGCCCTGCCGCCTGGGCCTTGGCTTCAGCCCGCACCCAGGACCTCCCGGCCCGGCGCGTGTACCGTGGATACGCGTTCCTTCACGTCTGTCTGCAGCAGACCTGAGTGCACGCAGGCGGCATCACCCATCTGTCTGACCTGACTGCAGTGTCTTTCCCCATTCTTCTTGTGCCAGGAGCTCTCCTGGGCCTGTGGCACACGCTCTACCCTGTACTGGTTTTCTTGCTGTTCTGTGTGTTTTTCTTTTGGACTGCCACCTCACATGCTGCATGAAAAGAAAGATGAGGTGTCCCGAGAGGACACAGAGAGCTGGCCAGATAGCTCAGCAGACTAAAGTACCTGCTTAGGCAGCGCCCAGCGGCCAGGGGGTCAATCCCCGGGGTTCTATGCTGGCCCTGCCCCTGGGGTACACTCAGACTGTAATTGAGACTGGGCGTGGTGGCGTGCGCCTGTAATCCCAGCGCTTGGGAGGCTGCAAACAGGAGGATCACTACGAGTCCGATCTACGTAGTGAGACCCTGTAGATCCTGTACTAAATACATAAAACCAAAAAACCCAAGAAGACATGGCCTGGGGCACTGAGCAGGAAGTAGAGAGGCATCTCTGGTTGGAGGGGAGCTTCCTGGCCCGCAGGAGCCCTCTGTGTGAGACCAGACCCGAGTGTGAGATGTCTTCATCCTTGGGTTTTCTGGCGCTGCTGGAGTGTGTGGTGCTTTTCTTTTCCATTTTTAGAGCCCATTTCTCAGGTGTTGCCAGTGTGAGCTCGTGGGTGCTGCGTTGGGTCAGCTGTGGTCTATGTGTTGCCTCTCTGCACGCTGGCTCCCCATGGGCTGTCCATGATGTGGAGGTAGCCATGAAGCCCTTTTGTAAGTTGGACTTGTTGATGTTTGTTTTTCAGAACTGCTTTCTCCAGGGGTTAAAAATAAGAATTTTAAATGCCATAGGACCTACAGGCTCTTTGCAGGTAAGTTTTGTATGACGCTGCTTTCTTATTAAAGATGAGAAGCGAGTTTGTGCCTAGGCACAAGCGAACTGTCATATACACCCATCCATAGGACAGGGCCTGCTGCGTTGGTGCCTCCAAGCTTGGGAGGCAGGACAGCAGTTGAAGAGTGTGTTTCACTTGCCCCTGAGTGTCTAGTGTTCCTGGGCACCCTCTGGCCCTGAGCTGGGCTGGCCTGAGGCCTGAGGAGAAGCGAGTGCACCTGCTGGAAATCAGTGCACCGTGCAGGTATCATGGGCTACTCATCTCTGGATGCCAGCCGAGTCAGTAGAGTGCATCCCAAGCCAGCATCCCTGTTTCTCTTACTTATACCATAAAGTGCAGGTGGCACTGGCTCCACATTCCCTAAAGTCAGCTAGGAAGGCAAATGGCACACCCATTCTCAGACAGGCAGGCCTGAGACCTCACTCCCCTGGCTGAGAGCTTCCCACTGTGGTAGGTTTTCTTCTAGCTTTCTACCCTTTTCCTTCCTGTCTTCTGTCCAGATGGCCCCAGTCATCCTAGTGCTGTTGAACCTTTATACCTCTGATTGTTGTTGTCTGTAGTGGTTTTGTCTTGTTTTTTGGTACCAGGAATCAAACTCATTGTGCTTGCCATGCAGGCATTTGTGCCACTGAGCTACATCCCCAGCCTTTTGTTTACTTTTTCTTAGAGTTTGCTAATTACTCCTTCACTTCCTTTGTATTGCCTCTGGTGAGCCTGTTTGTATTTAAAAACAAGCCTGCTGTTTACAGCCCTTGCATGGTCACTTTCAGTGTCCGTCCTGCTCCTGGTGGCGTATAGAGGTGCCCTTCATGGAAGGATTGCCTGGACTCAAGGAGGGAGGTCACTCTTCTGTGGCCTGAATAGCCAGGCAGGGCTTTGGGCTCCTGTCTGCCTTGGCTGCTCCTGGGGTGCTGGGACGTATTCTCGGCCCTGGCCAGTGGGTACAGGCCCTGGGCCTCCTTGGAAGGCACCAGTCTCTTTTTCCCTCCAGGCATGCACTGTTCCTTTTCTCACTTCCTGCTCCTGGAAGATAGTCAGTTATAGCCCCTGCTCACCCAGCTGGCCCGCAGGCAGGGTGGCAGAAGTGCTCTGGTGGTGAGTCCTATGCAGAGTTCCTTTGCACAGAGCCCTGAGTCTGACCAGGGAAGAAACTGGGCTTTTGGCATGTGCACGCCACCCTCTAACCAGCACTCATGCCTTGCACAGCCCCAAGGTCCTATCTCTGAGGAGACAGTGCTGCTGCAGCCTGGCCCCTGTGGTCCCGTAGACCCCCTGGCCATATGGCTCTGCTCCTGTTGCAGAGGGGACAGCATCTGCCAGTCCTGATGTCTTAAGCCCTAACCAGCATCTAGAAGGCATCATTGTAGGAAGAGGGGTCCCTGGCGCTGCCTCCGTATTGTCCCCCACACCTGCCCTGCGCCGTTGTCACTCTTCCTGAGCCCCTCCTCTCATAGCAGCCCTTCAGCCCCTGTCCACGCAGTCTGTCCTGGCCCTGCAGAGCAGCCTGAGATCAGGGTCAGAGCTGCACGCCTCCCTGAGCACTTGGGCCCTCTGGCTTCATCCACTGCTCAGAGCCTGAGTCTGTTACAGCTGAGGTGGGAGCACCAGGCTGAGAGAACCCTGGGTGGAGAGGAGGCCCCACAGCTCCTTGGCTTTCCAACCCAGCAGGGCAGATGGACCTGAGGCAAAACAGGTTGCCGCAGTCTGTCAGTTGGTCCCCATCTTAGTTACTCTTCTCTCATTGCTGGGACAAATACCTGACACCAAAATTAAACTCCTGCATTCTGCAAGTGCCTATAACCAGCGCCACATGGATGCTGCCAAGGGCTGCTGCAGGCTGGAGCAGTAGCCAGGCTTTCCTCTCTCTTGGCTGTAGGGGTTGAGTGCCTGAATCACTGAGCACTCTGACCCTGATTCCAAGGAACAGATTCTCTATGCCGGCACCATTCTAGAACCTGATATGCCTGCTGCCTCCATTCTGGAACATGGGGCTCTGCGGCTTTTTCCTCAAGGCAAAGTCCCTCACTCTTGGAATTCTGAGGCTGCAAAGGTTGGAGACCTGTGCCCTCCTATGATGCCCTCAGGCCATCCTTTCCATTCTCTTGTTCCTTTTCAGCAGTGGTGATCCTTTCAGCTCTATCTTTGCATTCCACAGCTTTATTGGAGCTTCCTTTTTGGCCAGACTCACATTTTAAATCATCCTGCTGGGCTCTTTGCTCTTGATTTTCAACATAAATCTGACCTAAGAGCCCCCAACAATAGTCATGCTATTGCCTCAACATTTGACTGCTTTGAAATTTCTTTTGTCAGATTAATCAGTCCACTGCGCTTAATCTCAGTCTCAGGCAGAGTCTCTGGACACAAGCAAAAGTCAGACAAACCTAAACACACATCATCCAAAGTCCAACAACCAATGCAGTCCTTCTTCCCAGCAGAAACCTCCCCAGCCTGGTCTTACAGGCAGGATTTCTATCAGCATTCTGGTCTTTGAGCTCTGACCAGAATCTCCCATACAAAACAGCTGAAGGCATTCTAGTGTTTCTCTTGTGGGCAGCATCTCTGAACGAACCTTTCTTATCTCTTTCCATAAGCCATTCCCAAAGGTTTTGAACAACGGGTCAGGTAGTCACAGCAGTGACCCCACTTCTCTGGTACCAGATTCTGTCTGTTACTTTTTACTCATTGCTGGGACGAATACCCAACACCCAAAATTAGGGAAGGAAAAGTTTATTTAGCTCACAGTTTGTGGAGGTTTCAGTCTGTACTCAGCTGGCTCCTAGGCAGAGTGGTACAAGGCAGAGGGCAGCCTTTCATGGCTGTGATAAGGGAGCAGCTGCGGCTTCTAGCAAGCCTCCTTACATTGTGATGCAGATTACCCACCTCAGGGCCAGGGGGTAGCAGTCACAGCACTGGATCAGGAATCAATCACAAACTCCAAAAGCCACCCCATGACTGCATGAGGCTTTGGGAGGACAGCTAGACACAGACCATAGTCGTCCTCCTTGGAATGGCCATAGTGTTGGCTTTTGCATTTTTCACTGTCGCTGACACTCTGATCTTTGTTCAGGATGTATCTGGAGTTTTTGGATAGTGTAGGAGTAGAGTAGGCCCGATCACCCAGAGGGTGTGTGTGTGTGTGTGTGTGTGTGCATGTTCATGTGTGTGTTCATCCACAGGATGGAGGCTGTGAGGGAGGTGTTTTTGGTGTATCGTTTTGTTTTCAATGTTACTAATATGTGTGTCTTATGTACTGTGTGAGATACTTTACATAAGTATACAATGTGTGTACTGAATGTGTACCTACTATATATGTGTATGTATGAACGCATACATCCAAACTCATACACAGATACGTTCATCTGTGTGAGCCCTGTCTGGCTAATGAGCTTTGTCACAGACCTCCTGTCAGGCCTTTTGCAACCACGCCCTGCTCCACGCGCCTCTCTGAGGAGCTGTGCACAGCCCGGTGCGCGCTCTCACGCCGTGCTCTCTTACAGTGGTCTACCATCACGGCAACAGTGCCACCGGTGGTCACTACACCACCGACGTCTTCCAGATCGGACTCAATGGCTGGCTGCGCATCGACGACCAGACAGTCAAGGTGATCCAGCAGCACCAGGTGGTGAAGCCCGCCGCTGAGCGCACCGCCTACCTCCTGTATTACCGTCGAGTGGACCTGCTGTGAGCCTTGTGGGCCGCGAGTGTGTGCCTGACGCCACTGTGTAAAGCTGCAGCTCACTGGCTTCCTGCCTCTGTAGTGGCTCCTTAGAGAGACTGTCCCTTCTGCAAAAATGTGCTAGGATGGAGCGATGCCTTGGGATTCATGTGCAACATAGTTGTGTTGACTTCTGACTTCCAGATCAAAATCATTTGGTTGAAGCAGACTGTCGATTAAGAAAATACATAAGAACCCATAATTCTGAAATAATAATCATAATTCTGATTCCTTATAGAAGAAAGGGAAACTTGCATTTGATTTGCAGTCTAATTGCTTAGTAGAATAAATCTACACCAGCAACACTTGTAAATTTGTGAAAATGAATTTTATCTTTCCTTAAAGAATAAATTTTTTAATCCATCACACTTTCTTCCCCTCCCCTTTAGTTTTTGATAAATGATTTAAAATGAGCCAGTTATGAGAGAAGAAATAGTTCTTACTCCAAAGGAAAAATAAAAAACAAGTTGCTGGTTCCTAAGAAAAAAATACATTTTAATAACTGTGCGATGAGACACTGCTTACATACGTGTTGCGGCTCACATGCCTGGAGCTATGCGGTGGTGGTGGCGGCCTGCGGGGTGGGCGACTGCAGCCATGGAGCCACTGCAGAGTCCAGGCCACTTCCGTGCTTCTGTGTGTGCACGGCACCGCGCGGCGAGGCGCGGAGACTGGCTGTTCCTGACATCTGCTCTCCTTCTGCTGTCCATCCCCTTCTGCTGCGCCCCAATGTGCACAGTGAGACCTAGGAGTATAAAGTTGTCACCCATCAATAAAATCACAAAGTTGGTTTAGAGCTGCGCGTGTTTCTTTGTGTTTGAGTGCCCCTTCCAATGATGGGTCCGTGGGCAGCATCCCTGGCAGCTGAGGGTGAGGGTGGCACACCGCACCGGTTGGGCGGACGAAGCATTGATGGGTTGGCGGGCAGGCCTGTTGTCCTCCTTCCCTGATTTCCCTCAGTTTCAGAACCCCTGGTGGTGGTTTGAGGCAAGACCAGACATCCGCACAGGGCATTTCCAGCCATGAGAGGCTCTGGAGGGATGGACAGATGGAGGGAAGGAAGGGAGCCTCGGATCAGGGGAGGCCCTGCTCCCCCTGGTCTCACTGCAGCCGGAGCCTTTTTCTCCAGCTTTTCCTCACTGTCTCACATTCCTAATTATAGCTTGTGCCACCCTTGTGGGAAAGAAGCTTACTTTGTCGAATTGTAGTACTAACGTCATCTTAGCCTCCTTACCCAGTCATAGCCCAGTTCTGGTTTGCTCAGATGGATTACAGTTCTAGTATAGTCAGCTTCTTGTTACAGAAACGTGCAGTTCTGTGGAACATACGGGGATTGGAAACCAAGGAACCTTGGGGGGCACCCACAGCCACAGTGACCTAGCCAGAGGAGGTGCAGCAGCACCCTCAGACACTTGGTGTGGGTCCTGGGTTGTACTTCCAAACTCCACCATCGCCCTGCTCCTCTGTCATGGCTTATCTGTCCTGATATGCTCACCCCACCACTGTGGTCCTTTGCCCTTGACCATGTGTGGCTCTGTTACTGTATCCTTCTCAGGAGCAGGACCAGCTGATCTGGAAACAACCCTGAGAGGAAGCCAGTTGAGAGGCCTAGCAAAGGGTCCAGTCATCCCAGACACCAGCTGCTGCGAGATCTTCCAGGGAGTGCTGCGTCCTAGATGAGAACACTTTCCCTCGCGTGTCATTCATTGGCTGCAAGCTGCAGCAGTCCTTGTTTGGTCAAGTTCAAAATAGGTTGAGCATGATTGGGATATCCAGCGACTCCCTATGCGGGATCTCAAGTCTGTTTCAAGAGTGGACAGAGAGGAACTGGGCCCAGTGGGACAGGCCACCGTCCTGTGAGAGTAACGTGTGAACCTGCACTTATTCCCAAGGCTGCCATTCCTGTGCTGTGCTCAACGTGTTCCGGCCACCTGAGAGCCAGCAAAGAATTCTTGTCTTCTGGCGTGTAGTGCTAGTAAGGCAGTGTGTGTGTCCCCTGCTGTAACCAAAAAGTCATGGCTGGGGGCAGAATGAAGCTAGGTCTCACGGTCATGGAGGCTGACGTCTCGTCTGGGAACGCTGGCAGATCAGTGCTGTTGAGGGCCTGGGCCTGGCTGGTGGCCTCGCCTCTGTGGGACCGAGACAGCATCCTGGAGTCTCTACCCCGTCCCATGACCTCGCTGACTGGAATCCCCTGATCCCGTCCTGTAGCGGTTAGGTTATCAGCATTATCAGGATGGGGGATGCAGTGTGTCCCTGTGGCCGCCACACCACTCACTGTGACTGTGTGCGGGACCGGAGCTGTTCAGTCTCGGACTGCCTAGGCAGGGCAAGCACTCTGCAAGCTGAACGTGTCAAGCAGGCGCCAGCATCTGGGCTGAGGTGAAAATGGGCCCGGGCTCGAGAACTTGAGGGGATTCCAGTGAAGCCGCTGCTTCTCTGCAGTCCTGGGGAATGGCAGCCTGGGAGCCATCCTGGAGAACTTTGCTCTTAAAACATTCATGTGCCACAACATCTAGAATTCTTTTTTTTTAAATTTTATTTATTTGTGTGTGTGTGTGTGGCCAGCTCAGCCCACCAGGGGGCGGGGCTGGCTGGCATGTGGTGCTGGGGGATGAAAGAACCGCGGTCCCTGTGCTCTGCCAAGCTTGTTCTAAGTAGGTGCTTTAGACCACTAAGCCATCTCCCCAGCCCCAACATCTAGAATTCTTAAACCATTTCTGTCGCTTTTGGTCATTTACACCTAGAACTTTGCCCATTGGCTATGGTAGCACTTGTGTGAGCGGCTGTTGAGGCTGCGCACCATGGAAGTGCCTTGGGGTGGGGGGTCCCCAGATACCGTTACCCCAGCCAAGAGGACGTATGCTCTGTTTGGAAGACTGCGGTTTGCTTAGCTCGGCACAGCCACCTGCACGGCTCGGGGACAGTGTGCTTTCTCTTCTTGTGAGCTTACTTGCGTCAGCTGGTTGGCAGTAGGGGCGGCGTGCAATCGGCAGGATCAGTGGGAGCGTCACTTCCTTGCTGACCTTTCTGCTTCTATGTGCTTGCACTGTCTGAGTTAGAAAGCCGCCAACAGTGCTTTTGAGTGAACCAAGTTAGCCAGCGTAGCCTTGCACATTTGAGACGAATTTGCTAAATGGATCGTTGTGCCAGGGTGGCCACATCAGCCTGCTGGCTCGCTGACTGCTCTGTAGAAGTGTCTGGTCATCAGGGGAAGTGGGCCCTGTGTGTGTGTGTGTGTGTGTCCATGGGGAGGGGGCACCGCTCTCTGCACTGCTCTCTGGACACCAGGTTTCCTGAGCAGCACTTGCCTAAAAGCACTTTGCAGCGTGTCAGTGACTTCGCCGCGCCCTCCAACCAGGCCACGCATTAGCAGCTACAGGAAAGGTCCAGTTTTCTCATTAAAAGCACTCAGAAAATCACCAAGCAGACAGGCCACTTCCCTCTTTTGTGTTTAATGTCATTCAACTCTGCAGCAGCCGGCAGTCAAAGAAGGCCATGCCGTGGTCTGTTCGATGTCTTCTGCTCCACTCTAGCGTGCTGACGCTGCAGCAGGTTGTGAAGCGGCAGGAGCAGGAAAAGTTTCACCAGGTCCTGGCCGCTGCACGGCTGACATGGGACTGTGTTGGGCTCCAGTTAACAGAGTGCTGTGAAGATGTCTGCATGTAGCATTTTTGTGTCAACTGCTCTTTTTTTTAAATATTAATTTTATTGAGAAAGAAGCAGTGAGACAGTTTTCAAAACAGAGAACTTCCCTTTCATAGATGCCTAAGTGTTTGCTGTCTTGTCATTTTAGGGGTAAGAGTTGTTTGGTTGTTAGCAAGGAAATACTTTAAGATAGCTTCTTCCCTCTATCTGCCTCCCCCAGTGCTTCGTGAAGAACCAGAACAGCCCCCAGGGATCACAGAGCACCCCTCCTTGGGACGCATCTCCTGTGGACGGGCAGAGCTGCTTTCCGGAGTGCTCTGTGCCCATTTGCACCTTTGTCCGTGCTCATAGCCCCCAGGGGCCCCTCCAGCCTCTGCTGCACCCCTGCTCTCCGCCCAGGTGTCTGATTAGGGGCTGCCGACAGGGGCCCACACCCCAGTCTATCTTCACCACCTGTGGACAACACACGGACCACTCTCAGGCTCTGCTGAGAGGGTGAGGCCTCAGCTCTCTGCGAAGAAGCCCTTGCACAGGCCACTCCAGGGCTGCCATGAGTGACTCTGCTTTGCATGGCACGTTTGCTCTGCAGTGTGTGCTCCCGGGCACAGGACAGGGTTCCCAGGGCTGTGGTCACGTGGACTTGGCCCTGTTGGCTGACCAAGGTTTCACCTGGAGCGATAGGTGTCAGCTTTGCGCTCTGCCGGTGCTGTGCCTCCCCATTCCTCCCCTCCCCAGGGCGTTGTTTCCCTGATAGACTCATAGGCAGTTACTGCCCAAACCGTGCAGTTGGGGACCCCTTCAACCTGTGGTCTGCTGCTCCCCGAGGTACCACTGCTCTTGGGCGCAGCAGACAGAACAGAACAGAGGAGAGGGGAATCTGGCCACCGCGCCAAGTAGGTGCTCTCTGTCAGTGGTGACCTGGGCAGCTTGGCCTTTGGCCTACGCTGGGATGGGGGCCCTAGGAAGGCCACAAGCATTGAGCCCTCCACTAATGTAGGCACAGGCTGTGTGACACTGCTCCCATGGGAAGGGAGCCCGCTGGCCACACGCCAGCACCGCTGCACCCAGGGGCCTGTCTGGAGTCCTGACACCTGCATCAGAACCAGGGCCCCACACTTTGGGGAGTGGAACCCAGAAGGAGCCACGGTGTTCCTGTTGCCTCTGCACCTGGGACAGGACGCACACTGCTTCATGGTCATCACCAGCCCCTGAACACCACTTCCTGTCCTTTCACCCCTGTTCTCTGCCAGGGAAGAGCCAGCAAAAGTGCCACTTCTGAACTTTACACCTGAATCGGTTGCCTCGCAAACTCCAGAGATGCCTGTGTAGGAAGATAACTCTCATCTGGAGACACAGAGGTGTCTCTGTGCCCGCAAGGCCCCTGGTGGCAAGTGGGCTGTGGGGTGCTTTTTTACCCTGAAGCGTTGCTTCACTCAGGTCTGCTGTGCCTGAAGCCAACACTGGCAGCCACCTGGCCTGTGACCTCTGAGTCTGGTGGTCTGTCCTGATCTTGGTGGTCCTGGTGGCCACAGTAGGCCACATGAGCCACACACAAAACTGAAGACACCTTAAGACATTAGGATGGATGGGCAGGGAGCCAGATGTCATGCCTGACATTCCATCACTCAAAGCCTGAGGCAGGAGTGTCACAAGTTCAAGGCGAGCCTGGGCTTCACAGTGAGTTCAAGTCCAGTCTGTCTCACTTAACACAGAAGAAAGTGCCCTCCCTGCCTCTGCCGCGCCCCCTTGCCCGCTTTTGCCCTGAACTGGCCTGAGGAAAGCCGTGCAGGAAGCCTCTGCGCTGGCCCGCTGGCCCACTGCACCAGTGACCTGCTTGGCCTAGGAGCCTGGCCAAATATTGATACCCAGAGAGTACCCGGCTGCTGAGCCAGTGGAGAAGCTATGAGCTCGGGAGGATGGTGGTCAGGGCAGCGGTCCAAGGGGAGCCAGAGCACAGGGTTGTGCATGCCTGCAGCCACTCCGCGCGGCGGTGCGGAAGGTATTGGCACACACAGCCGCCACAGGTCTGCGTGCTCATATGGTTCAGATTTGCGTTGCGGCACACCACCGCAAGCCCCTCATTTCAAGTTGACTCAGACGTGCTGCCCTACTTACATGGCACGCTGAACTGGTCTGCTCTTGTTACC